AGTGGAATAGTAGCTAAAAGCAAACAGTTGCAATGAGCTAATGAAAACCTGAAATAGCAGAATGGTAGCTAAAAGCTACAGGTTGAAGAATTGAAACCTAAAAGTAGCAGAAAGGTAGCTAAAGGGAGCCAAAAGCTACTGTAATTGAAACCCAAAAAGGATAAGATAGAATGATGTTTTTGGGAAACAAGAAAAAAACTAAGATGTGTTTCTCTGGGAAAAACATTTGTTAACAAAGGTAAAAATAATAATAATAAATAAAAGAGTAAAGGATATAAAAACCAAAAGTCACAGCATCCATCTCTTGAATGAGCTGAATGTTTTGCTGAACAAGTAGCTAAAATGACACAAAGTTTGCAGAATTAGAAAAGAAGATGGAGATAAAAACAAGTTAGGAAAGATAAAAATAGAAAAGAGATGGCGTGGATGCTGAACCAGCAGAAACCGGAGCCACTCTGGTCAAACCTCTGGTGGGTTTGTCCACAGACTGGAAACCAGAACCCGTTCCGAGTTAACTGACCTCTGCTTCCTGTAGTCGTTGAGCTTCTTGTTGATCAGGGCCTGTCTGGAAAAACCGAGCTCCTGCGGGAAACAAACGCGTCGGTTTTACAACCGCGTGAGGGCTTTCGCCTCAGAAAAAGTGTCGGTCCGACAGGTGAAGGTGTGACCTCTGACCTCGCTGTCCGTCTTGCTGCCCTCCCTGATGACCTCGATCCACTCCAGCATGTCGTCTCTGTCCTCCGCCTGCAGCAGGTACTCGCAGAAGTCCTGCGTGGTGAGCCGCAGGGCGTGCTTCCTCTTCGTCTCGCTGTACGCGATGTCCACCAGGCAGCCCCGGATGTTGATGGGCTGCTCGTCCATCGTGGTGCTGCCGAGCACCGCCTCCCTCTTGTCCTTGTAGAGGAACAAGGAGTGGGAGCGGAGGACCGAGTAGACCCGCTTCCACGGCCACATGCCGCTGCCGACTTTCTGTAAACCAGAGGAACGCGTTAGTGGTTCTGGTTAAGAAAGGCGTTCCCTCCTGGATTTCCCTCCGAAGCGTGTGCGCGCACCTTGCCCTTCTCTGTGAGGATCTGTTTGAAGTGCAGCCATCCTTCTCGCCGCACGTCGCTGTAGGTGATGTTTCCAAGCTCCGAGGTGGAGTGACGTTTGGAGCGGACCTCCTCTGCCGTCCCGATGTTGTCCAGAGACTGAAACATTTAGACATTTTATTCTGAAGACTTCAAAGTCAAAACAGTCTTAAAATAAAATAAAATAAAATACAAGGTGTAGCATGCTGGTGCTTTACACCAAGATCTTCTGTTGAGGTCACAGTCGTGACTTTCAGCTACTGCCCATTTAAGCTAAATAGCTGTAACATTTAGTTATCACCATGTTTGTGTCAGCTAATAATCATTAATTTAATCAGCTGTAGATTTAAATTCAATAAATATGTTCAGAGCGCTTCATTCAAATACGTCGAGTGTTTCATGAGGTATTTAAGAAACGGATTATAAAGGTTTTACCTCTTGACAATGCGTCGTGCGTCACAACGAATGTTTTAATCAGCGACTGCTTCACCTCGTTACGTTTGTGCGTACAGTCCCTCGCTACTTCGCGGTTCAACTTTTGCGAACTCGTTCTTTCGTGGCTTTTCAAAGCAAGCTTGTACACGACCAAAAAAAATAAAAGTTTGTGCACAACAAAGATCGTCAACTTTAATATTACTCACTTGATTGGGACGGTACGGGATACTGTAAAAAGGTAACGAAAAAAACTTTGTACAGGCGCCGCCATTTTTGTAGTTTTCTCTCAGTAAGTCTTCACTGTATCGAAAATCAAAAGGACTACATTTCCCAGAAGCCAACAGTGTTGCTTTCTGCTGAAATGGAGGGAAAGTTTTGATCCGATCTGAAAACGTTCGGTCCTTATTCATAGTGACTTTGGCGCTCAGTGGACGCAGAGAGCCGTACGGAACCGACGGGGAATTGGACCAGAACCGGACTTCCAGCCTCATCGGTCAATTTGAGCGCTGCTTGCCGGCCCATGAGGCCTCTCGAGCAGGAGGTCCGGTGTTTTCTCAGGCGCTCACCGGGACACTTTCATCCGGATTTCTCTGGATTATTTGGACTCGATCGGGACCAGTGTGTGGTTCTGTGCTGGCTATCCGAAGGCCCGGCTCTCTCCAAAAGCGACTTGATGCTCAAGGGCTGCAGAGAGCCGATCAGAACCGGACTTCCAGCTGGTTAGAACCCATATAAACTTTTACATTACCGTACAGTACATATATACGCATGTTGTTAAAATGACGTAGGTTTAAGAGTTTAGAACATTGCAAGAGTGTGGGAAGGGTTTATAAAGCCTTAAAATATTTACAAATACTAAAATAAATATGGTGTCCCTACTTCGTATTTTTTCATTTATTGTGGGGGGGTCCGGAACGTAACCCCCACGATGTGCCGACACAAGCACAGGGCTAAAATAAAAGGAACTTAAATCCCCTCACGCACAGTTCAAATGCTGCTGATGTATCAAAAATTAAACAGAAAGTTCACGACTTTGGATTAAATTCTGCAGTAAAGGTTTAAAGATCGAACATTCTATGTCCCTAAACGAAACGTTGTAAACTCACCCCATCGGTGAAGAAACTCTTCACTCTTTTCGTCTGCCTTCTGTCAAAATCAAAACGGAGTTAATCGTCAGAAGTGGCCGTCAGGGCGTTAAAACGAAAATCCGCAGCGCGGTACTTACGAGGGTCGTCCTTCGTCTCTGAAGGCGTTGAGTCCTTCGTCGCACGACTTGGAGCGCTCGGCGGTGATGGCTAGAAGATAGGAGGAACGGCGAGCGGATTTAATACTGCCTGCTCGGTGAGCGGGTGAATGAGCGGAGAGATGAAGAAAAGGAGAAATAAAAAATAAAAAAAGAGAGACAGACTGAATGTCGATGAGATGCCAATCACCCGGATGGACGGTTGAGTTAGGACGCGGGGGTGGGACGAAGGCGGTGGAGGTTTGAACTGAGTGAATGGGTGACGTGGTGAGCATGGACAGTGGGTTAGATTTCAGATCCTCTGGACCGCTCGCCCACCATCAGCATGCGGGTGTCGCCTCCGTCAGGACAGACATGCATGGCTTTAGAAGAAAACCGTGTCATGCAGACCAAATTGTGTTTAAAGCATTAAAACGCTTTGCAACGACATGCACGGTTAAACAATTAATAACCCCTTTGAGTAAATGACGACCAATTTAAAACAAATATTTGGTAACACTGCTAAACACTCGTTTCAAGCATTTTTTTTCCTCTCATAAAACCCAGTTTTAAAAATAAAAATAACATACTTTGACAATTTCAGTAACATTTATTTGACAATAACATTTTTTTATTTTTTTATTAAAAATAGGCCTGTCACGGTAACACATTTTGCTGAATGATTAATCGTCTCAGAAGTTATTGCGATAAACGATAATATTGTTTGAAATTTTACAATAATTAGTAATTATTGTGAAATTTAAGAAGAAATGTTGGTCAATTTGTTTTCAGTGTAGTAACTTTATTGACCACTGGATGGCAGTATAAGACTGTTTGAACCGAAGGATGGATAGTGAGGGAGCGAGCAGCGTCTCTAAGAAAAATGGGAGGGAGGCACCTTGACGGGACATGGGCTGGTTCTCAAAATGGCGGATGCTCGGTGTAGTTTGAGCTCTTTAGCATTTTTCACACAAAGCTTTAAATAAAATTAAAAAAATCAGTAAACAAGTTCTCAGCTTCTTTTTGCAGAGAAAAACAACTTTTTAGACGAAGGCACGGGTTTCAACCGTGAATTTTGGAGCTTCAACAAGACGGAGGTTTTTTCGTCGGGTCGGCCTGCGATAGCTTAGCTTCTCAGCTTTAACTACTTTTAACGATCCGAAAACGTGATGTTGGATCGTTAAAACGGATTTTAAAGAGACAGGGAGGGGGTCAGTTTTGTCATCCAGTGTCTTCAGTTGAAAGAGACACGAGGAAACGATAAAGCCGATAAATGGAACTGAGGTGGATCATTTTCATTTATCATACGAATAATTGATTTATTGTTTATCGCGACAGGCCTAATTAAAATAAACTGAAGTTGTATTTTCCACTTATTTTGTAACATTTAAGAGTTTAAGGATGAAAAATGCTTGAAAAGATGGACAGTGACACAAGAAGAGGCTCCTGAGACAAAATTTAGCCACAACAATCATGCAGGCTTCTAACATCTCTCGCATGCTTTACAAATCAGAACAACAACTCGACCACGAGTTGAATTTTGCGCCGCGTGCTCCGGCGAGGAACAAACGGGGGCGAGGAGAGGCCACTCACTGCAGTCATGTGAGAAGAGCCTAGAGAGGGGGAAGGTGAAGGTGGGGGAGGAGCCCACGGCGGGCGCTGAGCTCATGCTGCTGGACACAACGGAGGACGCCGGCACGTGGCGGGCGCGCAAGTCGGCGCCGGGGCTGGTCGGCTCGTCTGTGGGAGGGTGGAGGCAAAGATGGAGGCGTGGGGGGGGAAAAAAGGAAGGAGATCAGAAGGAGGTGTTAAGAGAAAAAAGGTGAGGGAGGAAGAGAAGAGAACAGGAAGCGCAGGGGTTAGATCGGGACAGGTAGGGAGAGGAGAGGTTTTTAAGAACCGTGAGGAAAACGGCATCAGCAGATCCTGAAGAAGAGTTTCACTTTCAACAAAATCAACGACTGGAACGATCTCGTTTCGCACCGAACAGCACGGGAGTCCAAGGAGGTGAAATCTGTAGGAAACTCTCAGGAAACTAAAAAAAACACACACAGCCCGACTAAAATCCCTCAAACAGAAAGTTAAATATGCGAACAGCTAACGGATAAAGCTGTACCTGCGTCGTCCGAGGCCATCGGAAGAGAGGCGGGAGGGTGGCCGAGGCCGAGCGGCTGCAGGTTTCAGTTCTTTATCCACAACAACGTGCGATCATATTCAAGAGCAACAAAGCATACGGTCCAAAAAGAAACAAATCACCACTCGGGGTGGATAAACGTTACATTTCAGATGTTTGTGCGTGCAGGGAATGAAGCGTTTGTGCATAAAAAAAAGAGGTTTTATAGGTGAGAGAGGCTTCGAGGTGTTTGAGAGTTTCCGCTCACCCAGAGGGATTTGAAACCAAAACACACGCAGGTTCCCACTTCCTGATGGATCAGAGGCCGTCTGAGATTTGCATAAAGCCACTAGAAGCTGAAGACATTTCAAACTGTGGTGGAAACAGCAGGTGGCAGCACAGACCTGCTGATCACCAACAAGTCCTGCAAGGATTCATCTTTGAACGTTCATGTCATCTCTAACAGCTCCCTCTTGTAAACGAGTCCCGGTGGCTCAATGAGGCGAGCCTGTAGAAATAACCGTGTCTCTTAACTTTCCTTCTCATTTATTTTGGCCCAACTAACTCCTTCCGTGTGTTCTGGTGTGCGACAAAGTGGAAAACAATCCCTGACTGGGATGAGCGGTCTCCTGTTGATGAACCATTTGCTCTGTGGGTTTAACTGGGACCGTGAGCTCAGAGCAACAAGATGGTACCGGACCAGCAGAGGGAAGCAAAACACGGAACATCCTGCAGATTGGACTGGAAGCAATAAAATTACAGGCCTCAGATTCCTTAAAGTAACGTATATTATCCACCGCCAAATCAAAATCAGTTTAATATTTGTCAAAGTGGCCAAGACGCAAGGCTGTTTTCTGTTGGCTAATGTTGATTAGCTGTGGTGGCGATCTTAAAGAGGTGAATCCAAAATTAAACAGCTCATTCGTTGATTACTTTCCGAGAGTTTAATTAAAATCTGAGCGCTGGTTCATGAAGGTTATTTATATAAATGGTAGAAAGTAATTATGTTAAGGTTGACTTAGTTCACGTTTCCTAAAGAAAATGCAGGATTAACATTTATGCAACTTATTTATTGATTATTTAGGCAGCTAGGTTTGAATATTTGCAACAAAACCGTAAGAAAATAAACATTAACCTCTTCTTATTTAGTTTTGGTTTCTATTAGAGGTCTAAAATAGGACAAAATTAGCAACAAATAGTAACTAAAGTGGGCAAAACTGAAATGAATTACAACCGGTAAATATATATATATTTTTTTTTTTATCAATAATTTAGCCAAAAAATAAAGAATTCGAATACTTCAGCGAACACAAAAACATTTTAATGCTTATTGTTTTTCAAAACAATTCAGTCTTTAAGAATAGAAAAGTATTTTGTGACTAATCTGGTCCAGCGGTATAATTAACAGGACAATAAATATCAGGAAAGATAACGTCTAGAAGTGACAGGTGTCCTCTGCAGGTGTTCTAGAAAGTTTGATTTGTCGTTATAATTAGAAATACCTAAAATAACTTTTTGTTTTCTTTTGGACTTTCCCAACTGAAAAATATGACGTTTATTTTAGTGCCCAGATGGGTATATATAAATAAAAAATAAAGCGTTCAGAGACCATAAAGGAACAGACCGAAGCCTGAAAGACGACGCGCGGGGCACAGGAAGCCCTCCGGTCCTGCTTCTGGTCTGCTGCGTCTCGGGCCGATCTCGTTACGACTCCTCACACGACGGCTCGTTTATCTCTCGGAGCGGCACAACGGCAGCACTGAAGCCACGACATGAAAGTACGGAGCCGCGCTGTTTCTTACAAAGTAATTTACAGCCGAGACGTGAGACTAAAGACTCCGTGTGGGCGCAGCTGCAGATTTTAACACGCTCAACTCAGATACAAACTTTTTATTGAGGTCCTAGTATCTTAATCGAAGATGTCATGAAAACATTTGCCTCTGTGCTCACTGTCTTACAAACGTTCGCTCGAGCTCCCGAACGATGTCGGAGCACATCAGCGCCTGTGTCGGAGAAATAACGAGATGGAAAGCTGAAGAGAGAAGCTGCGTCTCGTCTGCGGGGAGAAACTAGCCTAGTTTCAGTTTATGGCTTTTAAACTTGTCCCGGCTTGCAGCTCCGACTGCTCGGTTTCGTATAATTCAGGTGGAGAGAAGAATGTGATCTGAGAGATGGACCGAGAGTCGCGAATCTGGATTTCCTCGCTGGAAACTACTTTCTGGGGCAGAAAGCAGCTCGGCGCAAACATCCGACGCGCCCCCTAGTCAGATGACTTGAATCTGTTCAGCTCCAGGGTAGGAGCCGGCCTGTACTCCTCAGGCGCTCACGAGGTGACGGCGGCTCGCTTCATTTGCCTCTGGTTTGACTTACAGGCGTTCACGCCAAGCGACAGAAACCAGCCTAAAGCCTGCAGGGCTGCTTTGCTCTTTAGTCTTTACAGAGCGAAACGCAAGCTAGGACACGATTACCTCCTGCTGACAGCAACACATGCAGCCCACAGCTGCCTCGTGCACTTAACAAACACGGTAACATCACTGACCTTTAGTGTAAAAAACATTAACTGGTGAAAGTTTAGAGTACTCTGGATAACGCGACCAAAGCACAAAAGACAAAGTTAAATAAAAACCACGACGAGCCAATCTTGTGCAACCATTTAACTAGCTAACGTAATTTTTGAGCAAATAGTTTAAAGTAAATAAGAGTTATAAAAATGTTTTTAAATGACACCAAGATCGTGTATCTGGGCTACAAAATAAAGTTATGACTGTTCGGAAAAGTATGCGCTCGCAATTGAAATTAAAAACACGAAGAAACGGTCTATTCTGGGTCCTGTTCCTGTTTATGATCAATACAGATCAGATCAGGAAAAAACAAACAAACATGTTTTTGTTTTTGTTGGTAAAATACAAATTCAGTGGTTGGAACCAAGATTCCAGCTGAGTCAGCACCGAGCACAACGCACCTGCTTTAGCAGAATCCAATCAGGAAGTCAACATATCCACCTCTTTCCTGCGTTAAACGGGGATTTTCAAAGAGTTACAAGATCACTAAGCTCTGCTCTGACTCAAACCGCCGTCCTCAAGACCGCGGGGAACCCCAGGAATACAAACACTGACGAACACCAGCAGCGTCTCGGAGAGAATAAAAATAGAGCCTGAATCCACAGGCAGGAAAATCCAACGAGCTTCCAGCGCTCAGAGCAGTTGGAGATGAAGCTGTTAGCTTACCTATGAATGGGATGGAGGCCAGAGAGTCCTCTAAGGCGAGGGGGGCGAGGCTGCCGTTTGGTTTGCGTGAGGCTACATCTGCAGTGGGACCAGGAGCGATGCTCAAGTCTTTGGGGTCAGAAGTAAACAAAGCAGGCTCCAGATCGTCCATGGGCAGGGCGTAGTGTGGATGCCTGTTTGGGTTCCGCCGCCCGATGGGAGGTTTCTGCCTCATGACCACTTCCTGGGTTTGCGCCACGACCTCTGCCTGTCCCTCGACCACCACCGGTTCCCTCTCGTGGTTTGTCGGCCTGTACGCTCGGTCCTGGGATTCAGGAGCGACGGAGGCAAGCGGGGACGAAGCGGAGGAAGTGAGGGGTGCTGATCCCTCTGGGGGTTTGGTTTTAGGGGCTAGGTTCCAGTTCAAGTGAGGACCGGAGTAAGACGGGTCCCTGAAAGAGTGCGCTTGCTGCAAGATGCGTCCCGTCTTGCGGTAAAAAGAGGGGCTGTAGCTGCGGTAGCCCACAGTCTGCTCGTCCACACTCTGCCCTGGAGACAGCCGCCGGCTCTGAAGGGCGGCCTGCTGGGTTTGGAGCTTGGGTTGCGACTGTCGAGGCACTGACGGGGCTTGTGCTCCGGCGGTGTAACACCTAGGCCTTGGGTATGCGTCGGTCCTGTGGGGTGGCTGAGACGCCTGCTGAGACCACGGCTGCCTCTCTGACCGAGGCAAGACCAGTCCTGCCGAAACCTGGTCCAACTTCTCCAACGAGCGTCCGTGGCGATCGTACTGGGCCAGCAAATTTTCAGAGCGTGTTCGAGTATAATTAGGAGCAGGGTGGCCCCTACCAGGACCTGCCTCCCAGTCTCCACTGGACCAGTGGGGTTCTCCGTGTGGGCCTGGATTCTGTAGTAAGAAGAGGGTGTCCTGGGAGGCGCTGTGCGGCCAGCCCCCTGTCCTCTGCTGCTGCTGCTGCTGCTGCTGCCGCCGATGTTCACTGAGCCGGTCTTGAGAGTAGCTGCGGTGGCGGATCTGCATGCTGCGCCCCGAGCGCTCAGGCTGCTGGTTGTAGTACCAGTCGGAGAGCGCCTGCTGGCACCGGTCGGTGCGGCCGTGGCGGACCTGAGGCATGGGTGGACTGGTCCAGGCTGAGCTGGCCTTGCGCTGTGGAGCCTGAGAGGAGCTGGCACTGTGGTGGTTGGGGTAGTGGACCTGCAGCGGGCTGGAGAGAGGAGCTCCGGATGAAGAAGAAGAAGAGTAGGACCGTACCCTGGTCTGACCCTGAGGCTGCTGGCTGGTCATACCGTACTGGATCTCCTCTGTGCGGTGGGCTGGACTGCTGTGACCCACACCTCCCGGCTCACCCGCCCGCCCCTCCTGCCAGCTGGCTGGGCTGCCCACAGCAGATCGGTTGTCCAAGGGTGACGAAGGGCTGGAAGGGCTTGCCCAGCAACTCCAGTTATCTAACTGGTTCTGGACCATGTGGGTGGACAGGGGGGCTCCAGTTTTGGTGCGTGGGTAACAGAGGGGAGGCGGTGGTGGGAGATTCTCGGCTCCCCCGTTGTACGGATCGTTCCCTGTCAGGTAAGCATCCTGGGAGTACGCCTGGAGGAGACGAGAGGACAAAGGACGTCACGTGAAGTAAAAACGGTGCAGCTTCCATCACTTTCATCAAAACATGAATCGCCTAATTTTACTTTTGTTAAAATGCGCTCTTAACCCAAACACGTCTGACAACAACAAACAACGGTGACGATTTAAAGCTTAAAATGTCTGTTTTTCTCGGGTCAACCATTGAGGCCCAGTTTGTCCCGGAGGGGATCGGTGCTCGGCACAAACACGTCCTCTAAAAAAACGCATCAGCTCTGCAGGAAAAGCAAAATACAGTTGTTACACAGCAGCCAGCTGCGCATGCACGTCTCCAACACCGTCATGTAGACGTGTTTCCATTGCTTTCAGGAATATCCAACACAAACAACAAACCTACGCTCCAGATCACGTCATGTTGTCACTCAAAGTCAAAACCTCAAGTTTCGGCAGAAAAACTAACTTTTTTTAATTCTCTGGCACCGACACGTATCAAAAGGTTTACCTGCTTGATCAGACAATCCAACAGAAGCAAAAGCTTCTCAAAAGCTTGTGCGTTGACCTTCTGGACACCACAAACAAATTCAAATCAGAGGAAGCAGAAAAAAAAACAACAACTCCCGAACGCGACACTCCGGCAGCCAAAACATTCATTCCTTCATATTTCATAAACCTACTTATCCAGAAATCTTTATATGCTTCTTGACGTTGACTTGTTTCTGTCTGTTGATTAACTTGTTTTCTGCTCTTCCAAACCGTCTCCCCACCCTCTGACTTACTCCACCCTGTGGGAGGGTGCAGGGAGACGCAGCACTGCTGATGTCATGCCAGGAATGCAGGAGAATCAGCAGCGAGAGGAGGAGTGAGTTCGTAACGTTCAGGGAACGGCAGAAAACTCAAACCTCAGATTTGGGATTCTTTCTGGGGGTAACCCTGATGTTTCTGAAGGTGCGACGAGAACAAACCGGATCCGGTTTTGTGCGCTGCTCCATGCTGATGGGTGGAGCAAGAGGCGATGCATGTTGGATCATGCAAAACGAGCACGGAGGAACCTGCGGAGCGACAAAAATGTGTTGCGAAGTGCATGGGTGTGTGTGTAACCGAGCGCGGAGATCGTTTTATTTCCCAAACCTTGACAGTCAGCTCACAAGGGGATTTTAATAGATGTTGTAATACAAACACAGAGTAGAGTCTGTGAGTCACCGTCCACATTCTTGGACAATGATCTGGTGAATACCGGGCGAGTGTTCTAAAAATCCTGTATTAAAGGAAGTTGCCCGTTTCGGGTGTAAAAAGTGTCACGGACGCTTACCAGCTGAAGCACGTCTTCGTCCTTTGGCATAATGGAGAGCTCCAGCACACTCCCACTGCAAAGCACGACCAGGAAGAGGAAGAGGTGAAGACGGGAAAAACACTAACAAAGTTTAAAAACTCACTCGGCAACAAGAATTTAAATTAAAAAAAGAAAAAGCTAAAATTTATACATGAAGTTTGTTGTGCACAAAATCCACTTATAGAAAAGCTCAACACTTTAGTGATGTGTCAGTAAACACCAGCTTTACACAAACGTTATCCACTGGGTGCTGTCGTCTGTAACACAAACGAAGCTGAAGCTCTGTCCGTTTTACAGATACCGTCATGAAATTTGGTGTGGCGCGTTCACAAGACCCCTCGAGCCGGGACTTGGCACCTTCTGGTCGCCGCAGTGTGATTTCTGAATGGACCGAGGCTGCAAGTGTGATCGAAGCCAACCAACCCCTGGCGCACGCGAAGCGAGGTAGTAGCAGAGCCGAAACAGTCCATGTGTTGTGAAGTGGTGACACGTGGTCCGTGCGACCGCCCGATCACGGGATTAATGAACGCAAACTAATTTAAAACTGAGAGAAGATCGATGGTGACGCACAGCCACTTTACATTTAGTTTGAAAAATCAGTTAACCACGAGGAGAACTGCTTAACTGAGTTAGTTCGTCGTGTTTTGAAAATGATACGAGGGAGACGTTCGTCGTACGTTTATTGTGCCGCGCTCCAAGTCAACACAGCCGAGTTCTGCTCCACGCCTCTTTCGGTTCCACGATGCTAACTTCACTTCTGCAAGCTCACATGTGGCTGTCTCCATCTGGGATTTATGAACGGCCAGAGGCAGCATAAAGACAGACTGGTGTGTGCGGCCATTTTGCTGAACACACCTCTTCTTCTTCTTCTTTCGGCTTTGCCCTCTTCAGGGGTCGCCACAGCGAGTCATCCTCCTCCTCCTCACTCTGTCCTCTCCACACACGTTTCCCACCTCATAATCTTCGACTAACAGGAACACACTTTCCGCCGGCACCCTGTTTGTCAACAGCACCGGTGGCGGTCGCTGTTAACCCGGGCCTCGACCGATCCGGTATGGTTCCACTTTGATGAAGTCGCATTATAGTTCTGGCAAAAGTGTTTTATGTCAAATACCGTTCCTGACGCAACCCTCACCATCTACCCGGGCTTGGGACCGGTACAAGAGACGCACTGGCTTGTGCTCCCTGGTGGCTGGGTTCCCCAACACATATTATAAATATAAATAATATACTGTAATATAAAATATTATTATTACTATTAAATATATTTGTATTTAAATTTGTTTGGAGTCTGGGATGGAAGGTGGAGGATGATTCTTGTGGGATTAAAATGAACAGTTTATATGTGTTTGTGTATTTACTTTAAAAACCTGCTTTATCTTTAAAGTCGCGGAACTCGCCCGTCTCTAGTTTTCTTTGTGCGTTCGATACGATGCATAGATTTAAAACGTGCGAGAGTACGGATACATTTGCAGACGACACGATGTTTTGAGATCCGTGTTGATTTCGGAGCATGTTTAAGTAAACAGATTACAGTTCATCGTTTTTTTTTTGTGTCATCAAACCTCATTCAGCAATAAATTCAGCTGAGGTTCAGTCACGTGTGCGCCTCGTTTTAGCTCTCGAACGTCTCCTGAGCATCAGTGTCTCAGTTTGGGATCATGTAAAACATATGTAGATGCTCCAAGCTTCTGAAGGCGGCTCCAGTGATCCCAGTGATGAAGGGTGTCATCTTTGTGATGAGCCGACAAAAGTAAGAGTCGGTTTCACTTCTCTACCAGAGCCGACGGAAATATCTTACCTGTTCTGAATGAGGGCGATCACCTGCGTGTACGTCTTTCCAAGAACGCTCTCTCCGTTCACCTTCACCAGCCGGTCCCCTGCAGAGCAAAGACGTCTCATCACATCGTGACCTCAACAAAAAGAAGGGTTTATTAAAAAAGTGATGACGGTTAAAAAAAAAAAAAAAAAGCTACTGAGACGCCGAGCTGGAACTAATTTCCTCGAGAGATCAAGGTACGAACCGAAACAGGAAATACAAAAGAGGGAAAGTAGTAGGATTTTTTTTAATGCATTTATTTTAACTAAACAAAACTCATGAAGGCAAAACACAGAGCTTATGATCTATAGTTAACCTGGAAGGATATAAACAGAACGCACTTCAATCTGACTCAATTCAGACAATGTTTTCCATTTTTATCATTTTAAATAAAATCATCAAATCTGCAAAGTCATTCTGTGCAGTAACATAAAGAAAGAGCAGATATGTTGTAGACTATGAAGCGTTGAGAAAAGTCACGTGTTTAAAGTTTGTTTTTCTAGAAGTTTGTGTGAGCTGGAACTCTTCGTGTTTACTGTGTGGCTGTATTTGCATACGTTCATGCAGGCACAAGACTGGACGTCAGATTTGATTAATCTGAACCACTGAGCTATTATTTAGCTAATAAGATAATCGTCACCAGTGAAGAACAAATATTTACAACGCCTGGTATCTGAATAAAATTAAAAAAACACAATCGCTCTCGAGCTTGGTCCTTTGTTATATTATTAAGGCTGAGAGTTTCTGCACATGATCCAAATTTCCAATGCAAATCGAGACGTTCCCATTTACTTATCGTCAGTTTCCTTTACCTGTGCACAGGCCCGCCTGCTGGGCCGGGCCTCGCTCTCTCACATTCTTCACAAATATGGTGTCCATCGGCTCCAGGCGACCTTTCTGATACCCTGCAGGACAAACAACAAAAATCAGCTCACCTGTCGTTTAGGAACTGGAATTTGTTTCCGTTACCTCCGACCTGCAGTTTGCATCGAATATACAGTATTTTTTGGACTAAAAGGCGCATTAAGCGAAATGAACCGAAACACAACAGTCAGATAAGTCAAACTTTATTCAACTCATCCACAATAACCACATAAAATCAGTTTGAGGTCAGTAAGCACAACCAGAATTAATACATAAGGCACACCTGATTTTAAGGCTCACTGTCCATTTTGAGAAAATTAAAGGATTTTAAGTGCTTCGTAGAGTCCAAAAATATGGTAAACACGTGGACGAGTCACACCAGAGATAAAACTCACGTCTCAGTGAATCCATGCTCTCAGGTCTGAATGCAAACCTGCAGGAAGGCTCCACTCAGCACGTGTCAACTCGTGTTTTTATTCTGTCATTTCAGCCGCTGTACTTTTTACTGACATTCCCATTTATTTATTTTTTTAATAAACTCACAATAAAAGAATGTAAAAGCTGCTAAGTGCAATTAATGCTTGTTTTGTGCTCAGGATTTGTACTTGGATACTACAACTCTGCTCAGGAATGCTGTAAAATCTAAAAACACCCACACCTCTGCTTACTATTAAAGGTGAAATCACCGCCTGAAATACAGCCGTAAACTCTAAGCATCTCCGTGTCCCGTCTAAGCTTCATGTTGCGCGAGGACCAGAAACTTGCAGCGTTCAGTTCTAGAAATACGGAGCAAATTAACACAAACGAGGCACAGAAGGGGGGATTATGTGACAGTATTTTGTAGTGTTTGAAGCATTTTTTCCCCTTGACATAATCAGAATAAAAGAAAACTGAACGCAGACTGGGACACAGGTCCTTAACTTCTGATAAAAGAAAGTGTCCATGCATAAATAAATAAAAAACCTTTCTTTCATAGTATCCAAATGCATTCTGTGTGCATTCACTTCTGTATTTAGTACTGCCCAGTCGGGATGTAATCTACTAGACATCCTTGGTTGTAAGTAAAAACCTGCAGTGCTGCAGATTCTCCAGCAGGTGGAGCACAGAACCTGCAGGGCAGACCTCAGTACCTCATCACAGCAGCCATACCCAACTGTACTGGTTTAATTGGTTCCATAATGACAGAGCAACCCACCTTTTTCGTTACCGTTCTCCTCATCCTGCAGAAAAAGAGAAGAACGATGTCACATGAAGTTGACAAAGTAAAGTGACAGCACAACATGATAAATATTTGAGAACGTCGTTGGGCTTTTGCCCGTTGTGGGATTTTATATTTTAGCAAAAATAAGACATTGATCGCCGCTTTCCCCAACATAAACTCAAATTCAGTGTTTACACCACGCAGGAAAAGTCCTCAACCTGCTGGCGAACTATTTCACAACCGTTTCTGCATTTTATATCAGTGATGTCATTTGAAAACTGTCGAGAGCACGAGATCAGCGGCGTCGTTTGTTTTGGCTTAAAGGCCTGAAACCTCCTGAAACAGTCGTTGGTTTTGAGGAGCTGCTGATGTTTGACGGCAGAGCAGGACTTTCAGATTAGATAGGCCGCTGCAGGCACGCACGGCGTCACGCACAGCAGCAGAGGTGAGATCTGACAGCACACACACGCACACGCCAACACACACAGAGTCAGCTGAATGGGCAGTTTGAGGATCGCGACACTGTGGGCTGACAGCTGCCCGGCTTTGTGCTGCGCTGAGTGGGCTCATTCCAGGCTCTGCATACAATGGTGAGGGGGCTGAACCCAGAACAGAACCTGGAGCTGGAGATCCACAGGCCCGACCCAATTCAACCCCATCCAGAACCAAGAGGGAGAAGTTGTAGAGTTCATGCAGTCCATGTACAGAGCTGCACCTACTCTTAAACCTGCAGATATTTGATACAGATGATCTCAACAGGTAAGAAAACTGCTGCAGTGAAATCAGATCCCCCAAATTAAAGAAGATGTAAAGCACTGCAACACCTGTTCTAGGTTTTACACCTAAGTAGTTTTTAAAAAACAGAAAAGTTTTCACATATTCATTTTATGCATTTTATGGGATTAAGTGCCCAACAGCTCAAAAACGATCTGCCGTTCATGAAAAAACAACTTCGTGATCTACTTCAGTGGTTCCCAAAGACGGAGACCCCGAATAAGAGGTCTTGAGAAGATTTCCACAGATCACAAACATTTATAATCGATTGCTAATAGCACAGCAAATACTTTAGATTTAAAACGTAAAGAGCGGACGTCACGAATGAACAATGTTTTTAAACTACCGTTGAGGCTGTTTGCATCGTCATTCATTATTTACTTGTTTATTTGACTTGTTTGTGTACTTTTTACCAGCGGTAGTTATTATTTGAGTCAGGAAGCTACAAAGGTTGTAAAGTACTGATCTATTTAACCACTTAGGATGTGACAAAGAATATTAAAGCATATTCTAGCAAACGTAATTCTGACATGTTCTATATAACATTTTGCTTAATTGTCATATAATACCAACCTTAATCTAAAAAAAATAATAATAATAATAAGCAGTGCAACTGTTTAAAAGCTACTTTCTTTGTTTAACAGTTGTTTAAAACGAAATAGCAACGCCACACACGTTAGGATGCACAATCCCAGTTTTTCATTCCTGCATCACGTGCAGCCAGAGGAACTTGGTTTTCTTGTTTTTCTGCACGTTTCTGTTGGAATTTGGTTCAGTCTGTACAAACGAAGATGTTTGAGGAATAACAGGAGCGAGTAAAGAAACCAGAGCCCGACTGAGACACAAACCCACGGGGCGTTTAGTAATTGGACATTTTGCTGGTAAGTTGGGAGATTTCCAAACGGGCTCTCCAGATAAGAACAGGGGGCTTTGTGAGTCTGATTGTCCAAAGACATCATGTGACCTTCATCTTCTTTGAGGCAGAGGACACAAGGACAGAAGTGAGGCCAAAGGCCCGCAGCGGGCCTATTGTCTGGGGTGGAACTGGTACGGCCCGTCAGCGGTACCAGGCTAAGACAAGAACTCATTCAGTCCGTGTTCCCCTCATGTGTGCAGCTGCTGGATGGTGGCGTGGAGGAAAAATAATGGTGGTCTTGTTTCAGCTGGCTCACCCCACGTCCTTTAATCTCACATCTGGAGACGTTTGTTCCCAACAACAACAACACGGGTGCACGTTCCACCCGAGCACACTTTAATCCGCAGAGAACACAAACGTCAAAGAGCGCTCGAAGGTTTGATATTCTTCAAAAGGTGAAAATCTGAGCCCCTATATTTAAATTTCGTCCTTAAATCTCTTGAATTCAACAGCTCGACTTTGTTCAATCTGGTGTCTCTAATCAGCTGAGCTTATTCTACCTTCATGTTTCTGTGTTTATTTTACTCAAAACTTGAGCCTCGGCTGAACTGGTTTTAACTCCAAGCTCAGACCGCCTCTCTCCTGAACTGTTTAGGATTAAAACGAGACCACGAGGAAGAAAACAAAACCAGAAACTGAAAACGGGGCTTTCAGAATCCAAAAGCATTCTGGGTTCTCACATTGAGGCTGGTGTGCAGGGCTGATTCTGGAGGGTAAACGATGAAGTGGCGAAGGGTGAAACCGAAACCCTGGGAGTTCTTATGGAGGACCAACGTCCGGGGACCCTTCCAGCCCACAGCGACACCCCCCGTTCCAGGCCGGGTTGCCATCGGCGGCCGAGGGTTGTCACCGGCTGAGGAGTGACCATCCCGCCGTCCCTTAGCCTGTGAACACAGAAAGAGAGCGATTCAGCTGAATACATCATCTTCAGGGGTAACAATGCTGAAAGATAACATATAAGCACTCCAGCTGTGCAGCCCCCGCCCAGCATCAACGTGTGGTACGGGGGCTGCACAGCTGGAGAGAGAAAAGCTCTGCAGAGAGTGGTGAAGGCTGCACAGAAGATGTTGGAGTCAGTCTCCCCACCATCACAGACATCTACACATCCAGATGCAGGAAGAGGACCACCTGCATCATGAAGGACCACACTCATCCAGCACACACACTTTCTGCCCCGCTCCCCTCAGGAAGGAGGTTGAGGAGCATTAAGTGTAGAACCACTAGAATGAGGAACAGCTTCTACCCTGAGACTCATGAATCTCTAAACAGAATAATCACTGCAATGCCACTTTACTTGGTGATATGCCACCATCTGTGCTGCTGATTACCCATGCTGCTGATTTCTTACCCATAAGCTGCTCTCTTCATACCCATCTGCTCACTACAGACTCATGTTCAGGCTGCTGTTTAATACACTGTATTATATTACATATTGTTGTGTAGCGCATATCTTAGATCCTTATACTGTTGCTTTTTTATACTTTATATCATCACTATTTTGGGGTTTAACTGGGACCTTGAGTACAATTTCGTTCCACCTCGTGTATCACATGTGATGCGAATGACAAAGTCACCTTGATAAACGTGCGCAGGCGCTGTATTAACATCCCATTTAATGATGAAGAAGAAGCAAAGTGTGAACTCCGAAGGAAACTGCACTTTTATTATTAGCACAGAGAGTGGAAAAACAAATCCATTTGGAGATGCAGTGCACGAGAAGCTGGAGGTGACTCTGCACTCTGACATGAACCCTCGACTGCTGGATTGTTCATCAGCAGCTTCCTCATCAGGTTCTGGACGCAGCGCAGAGTCCGGTCCGACCCGCATGCCAAACAACTCCAGAACAATAGTCCATAAACATGCCTGCAGGGGCGAATGCGGGGAATTCTGCTACAAGAAAGCGCTCGTGTCTAGACAGGTCCAAAGAGGGAATCTGGGCCTTCGACCTCGGCGACCGTGACGATGAGGATGATGAAGGTCCAAAGTGCTGTGGGCTCAGAGTGGAGGTAAAGTCAGACTTCCACCCACCCTCTAGATAACTCATTCCTGCTGCTGCGTAATAAGCCCTGAGAGCTCAGCTGACAGACACATGTGAGAAACATCACCCTGGCGTTGCACCGACGACCCGCACCTGTCAGTCAAACACCATCACCTGACCAAACAGTGACGGAGGAGGGAGCGGCGAAGGTCAGAGGTCAAACACGTCGCTAGTTACCAAACAAATTAAAATAAAAACCGCCGTTTGTGGTCAAACTAAAATAATGAATCATTTCAAAGTGTGGCACAGTGGCGAAGAGGTTACTTCACACAACAAGAGGGGTATGGGATTGAGCCTGTGGGTTTAGTGTTTTTGTGTTTGCACGTCCTTTGTCGTCTGTCTCAGAGAAGAAAAGGCGATTTGTCCAGATGTTTCACGGCCATTATAACAAAATCCATGCGTCACAAAACGTCCAGTAAAATGGCTCAAAGACGGTTTATGAACTCTTCTGCTCACGACCGTTTTTCAATTATTGCACTTTATTATTCAACGAGTAAAAGAAGAACAAAAAGTATAAAAAAAAAAAAAAAAGAAGTCACACTAGTCGTTACTCTTCAGCAAGCTGCTCCAGTTTATGGCGCAATTTCACTTTAATAAAATACGACGTGTTGGGAAAGCGCGTTGTATTTTTGGAACGCTTAATATTAAAACGTCTAATAAACGTCGACTTGCTTTTGTTGTCTTGAGCGTATTTAGGTTAAACACAAACTTTGAATTAGTCAACTTCTTGAATCTTGGAGACAAAAATGTTATCTTGCAGACCGACAATAAACAAACTCCATCCCTCCTGTTAGCAAAAAAACCTGTTACCTAATAAACAGTTTGCCATCTTAACTGTTACAATGACGTTGCAGCAGCTGCTCTGTGCAAACAACCTCAACTGGTTTCGTTCATGGTTATATATAAAAAAAATACAATAAATAAATAATCACCCGTTTCCCTACAATCAGAGTCGTAAAATGAAACATTAACAACTCCCGGAATCAGAGATGAACTTCTACATGTTAACACACAAACACGCAGTAAAACCATCAACTACATGCACAGACACACACACACACACACAATCTGGCAGGTTTGTGCGAGGCCACACAACAACAGGAAGTGGCCGGCTTGAGGCAGGAAGTGGGGTAACCCTGCGAGGCGGGATAACCAGCCGCTCCTATAAATATACTCTTCATCGCCGAGGCACTTCCTATTCCTCCTCTCTTCTACCTCCTCTTCCTCCCATTAGACAAGTGACCGTGCCAATGGAAATCCGGCTGCTCTGACTTTTACCGCACATTTTCTCTTCCTTCCACTTTCCACTGAGGTCCAAAATATCGTCGGGCGTATTTAGGTTTGCCGGTTGGCGCGAGTGTTTGCGATACTCGCATTTTTAGTTTGACAATCTAAACAATGTAAGTAACCACAGCTGTTCTCTCTGAAGGCATGCCGAGAAGCTTTGTGTGCGCTAAGACGGCAGCACAAAGACGTGCGTAAAATTGAAACGATTGGGGGGGTGAGGAGAAAATGAAAGAACGAATGAAGGAAGAGTCAAGAGTGGATTCCTGAGGAGGAGCGGTTCGGTTTGGACAAGTATAAACACACACTGTGGTGGATCGGAGGGAGGGAGCACCGGGCCAGTGAAGGATGAAGACGATGGAGAGGAGGAGTATCGGGCCCCAGCGAGGGACAGGCTCAAGCACGCCAGTTTCAACCACATGGCCCCTCCCGGCGCTGGGAATACCAAACCCTGTGATTACCCAAAACACACGGGGTCTGACTGGGTCTGAGCCGGGACCGGATCCCACTTTGCCTCTCTGGACCGTGTGCGTTGTGCAGCTTGGCTGTTCTGTCGGGTCCGGCCGTCGCCCCCTCAGGCCCAACAAACACCTTTGATGCCACCTCTCACCTCCAGGTTCGTCTGAACCAGAACCAGAACCACGCTGGCACAGAATACCCTGTCCAGGACTTACGAGGGCTCATGGAAACTTTTTCCTGCGGTTTGGTTTTCAGGCTAATCTTGAACTTCCGCAGCAGACTTGAAACGGAGACGAGGAGAGCCTCGTTTTTACATACTTTCCTTTCTCCTTGTGGAAATCTAAACTATTTAACATGGATGTTGCCCCGATCAACAAAAAGTTGTGTCGTGAAGCCGGTCAGCACAAAAAACAGCATCCCAGCGTCGTTTAATGAACCTCCTTAAAGCGCGAGCGCATCATGAAAACGAAAAGCTTCAATGGAAGAAACTCAATGTGCAGAAATGCTCGAACACAAGCCTTCCTGCTTTGAGTGGGTGTTTAGTTGTAGCAGGATCTACCCTGAGGAGATTTCTCACGATTTTAATTAGGTGGGAAATAAATAAGAGTGCATAGGAATAGAGCAGAGTCCTGTAATGGCACATCTACCGTACTTTCCAGCGTACACGTCGCACCGCCTTATAAGTCGCATCAGTCCAAATATGTCTAATAAAGTGGAAAAATCCATAAATACGTCGCTTCGCCGTCAAGTCAACTTTATTTATAGAGCATAATTAAAACAGAAACTGTTATCAAAGTGCTTGGGAGTAAAATTTATGGGAAAAAAAACACCAATTATAATAATGAAGAATTAATAATATATAAGTCGCGTATATTATGCATCACCACTGACAACCTGGAAATGTGGGCCGGTGTTGTGCCAAATATCGATTGGATGCCAAATGGCGGCAGCGGGAGCGTGCACGGGAGGACTTTAACAATAATTTAACAAGATTAACACTTAAAAACAATTATTTGTTTGCTTGAAATTAGAGTAAAGGTGCATCTCAGTTGAACTTTTACTTAATAAATGCACTTATATGGTCAAATCAGCTTCATTTCGTCGGGGCGGAGCAGCAAAATGAAGCTGATTTGAAGGTTGCTCCAAGTGAGCTGGACGAAGGCGGCAGGATATGGCAAGCCGATTGTGTCATTAATAGCCACTTTTACTTATTACATTACACAACGGCATGCCATACTACTTGAGGGACATCTAGCAGCTGAAAATTGGTGTGTTCAATATTTCAGTCAGAATTAATAAGAATGGTCATTTCAGCCAAAAATTGGTTTATAAATAAGGGGGGAAATCCATAAATAAGTCGCTTTGATGTATAAGTTGCAGGGCATGAAAATTATGCAAAAAAAGCTGCGACTTATAAGCTGAAAAATACGGTACTTGGCAGAATGTGGCGCCAAAATTTGAAGCCTTATTAGTAGAAAAAAATGCAAAAAAGTTATCAGTGTGCTTCCTGATAATCTTTCTTAATATCGTGCAAAAAGGGATGTTTTTGTGTGTAAGAAGCTTTTCCAGTACATGATATTGTAATAAAGCTGAATTTACATTCGTCAGATGTAACGTACGGGTCGGTAGGCACGAACGCTCCAGTCTCCATCCAGAGATAAAGCGGCGTGGAGGAATGCGGCGGCCACCGGGGAGCCCGGCTCCTGCTAAAACCCCGGGCAGAGGAGAACAATAATGCTCTTTTAAACAGCTGAGAGCTGCAACATGTTTGAAAAGTGGAGCTTTACGGCTGCTGCGAACGCTGATGGGCCGTTAATCCTGGCAGCCGTGCTCCGAGCCGGGCCGAGACCGAGGGAACGATGAAAGTCCAAACCACCTCGCGCCGATAACGGACTTACCGGCCACACAGAAGGAGAACTCCAGCACCTCTGCGAGCCCAACAGCATCTTAGGTCTCGAGAAGACACATAGCTCAAAGTCCAGCAGCGCTTTGAACACCCGTAACAAAAACCACCCTTGAAGACTTGTTTCAGTTTTACATTTAGCACTTAAAGTAGTCATGTGGAGCTGTGTACGCCTGCCCCCGTGAGTCAATATGAGCAGC